CGCTAACAATGTACAAATATTAAATGTATATTTTTATCACACTTTGTATTCTTGATTTTTTTTTTTCTCGGTTAGTGTCACAGAGCGATTATAGAGACGTTCTAGTCACCCAAATTCCTATAAATACATTTATCATGGTATTCTCCCTACTTAATGACGCGTAGACGCGTTTCTATAATTTACACTTTCCCCTATTTTTATTTTTTTTCTTCCACAATTTATTAATAACAAAAAAAAAAAATTATAAAAAAAAAACTCATGCCCAGTTCGAACTTCTTTACTTTTCTAACAAAAATAGATAAAATAAATATTATAAATTTAAAATTGAATCATTAATTAAGTAATAAATTATAGTAATCACTTGCTATTTTAATTCATCATCAATAATGCTGATATAGATAGACCACCTCTATAGACTTTAAAGACGAAATCGCAAAACGATAAAAACCCGAAATGGCCAAAACAACACCTGGCCCAATTACCATAAATCCGCCAGGGTCCCGGATCTAAATGGCCAATATATCTACAGATTCCAGCAAAAGATCCAACATTCAAAAATTCGATCAAAGATCAGTCATTAAACTTGGACAATGCAGTCGTAAAAATTAAAAGACCTGCACCATCCCATCCCCATCCCAACCCATCAATATCCATTCGATCAATTTCTCAGATATGTCAAAAATTGGCATTTCTTTTCTTTCTCATTTTGCTCGCTCATACTATGGTTTTTTTTTTTTTTTTTTGGTCCAAACACTATATTCCTACGCGGCTGATCTTCTCTGTACGACCCGGACCGGCATGTCTAGATATTTATTGAAAAGGCGCAGACAAACATAAAAGTGAAATAATATTTCTGGCCAGATGCCAGGGAATTGCTGAAACAAAAAGCCATGGATGTGCTATATGGGTATGGGTATGGGTATGGGAATGGGAAATGGGAATCTTAAATCGGGAATCGGGAACAGGGAACTCTCTCTGCCCCAAAGGGAATATGGCCAAAGGTTTCCCTACGCTTGGAGTGGGGGGGTAGATGTTTATATTTGACTTATGTGTCGGGTATTTTTGGCCTCCCCTACAATTTTCTGAGATTTCTGAAATCTCCACACAGACGACAGGGTGGGTGGTGGTGGGAGCTGGGCGTGACAGATCGGATCAAATGAGATCAGACACTTCCTAGGTGATCCCTTTCGGGGGTGCACTGTTAATTAATATTAATTACTTATCATAAAACTTTAAGAGGAATGGATATTTTTTTATAGATTTTAAATGGTATATATAAATGGTTCTGTTAGAAAGTGTTATTAGAGTTACTGTAGGTATAATATCTTTTAGAGTGCTAAGACGATTGTTCAAAAGTTTTCTTTTTATATTTAGTATTATTCTTGGAATATTAATGTTAAAAAATCTATAAAGAAACTTACTAAAAACTGTTGATGTAAATATTATAATATATTATTATAATCTAGAATTTAAGGCTTACATATCTGGTTCTATGATCTGTTTTCATTAGTAGAGGATTGAGGCATTATTTTAAAAGGTATTTTATGACAACAAGCTTTTATAGACGAAGTCGAAAATATATAAGAATCTGTTAAGTAATTTTTTCTATAGAATTTTTGTATGTTATTTTATTTTAATTATTTATTTTGTTTATTTAATATTATTATTACCGGGTATATACACTGGGGTATATACAATGTTTATGGTATATACAATGTTTTGTACAAACATCATGTTTAACAGATAAGATCTATTATAGATTAAAATCTATTAAGTACCGTATAAGTTTTATAAGTATATAAGGTATTAATTTTTATTTGTTAATTTGTAAGAATAAAAATCTTCATATGTGAAAGCTATAAATGGATAAGAAACTATAAAGTAATATTTTCTATGGTACTTTCTTGTAGGATTTTATTTTAATGTATTTCTATTCTAAATCTTATAGATTTCCAGATCTATGATATATAGGATCCTTATAGATAGAACCGGAGATTGGATAAATAAAGTAGTGATCTTTGAGGTCAACCTTTTTTCTTCCTTCTATTATATATTTTTACCGAGCTTATATGTTAGAATCCAGTGTATACCATATAAACTTCACAGATGCACTTCTATATTTTGGGTTATTTTTATATCTCTCATATTAAAAGATTTTATTTTCAATTCTAAAAAATTGAATAATATTTCCCCGTAATTTCAAGTCCAATTTTTGCTAGCAGTGTCTCTGGAAATCTGTCAAGAAGCATGTCTCTGGCATTCATTTGACTCCCAAGATGGTGGGTGCACCGCCCTGGTGCCTAGTGTGACTTTTGCTTTGATTATGTCTACGCAACGCCCCCTCCTGCAACTTCAGTTTGAGTTTCAGTTTCTGGTGCTGTTTCTGCTGCTGCTGCTGCTGCAGTTGCATTTATGCGAAATGGTTTTTGTGGCTATTTGAACGCTTGCCAAATGGCTTTCCACACACGAACAGAAGAACCTCGAGAAGGAAAAGTCTTCCTCATTTGGTCTGTCGTCAGGGAAATGCAATTTTCTATAGCAATTGTATACAGAAAAGGGCAAGCCCCAGGTCCCCAGGCCCCCATCGATGCGATTGGGGGGCCGAAAGAAAAGCAAATCAAACGCATCATTTCACTTCCGGCAAGGCGTGCCCACAAGTTCTATTCCCGAAACAGTCGTGGTGGGAATTATAATTTTTTTTTTAATAAAATTTTAAAAGAGCTTTTAGTCAGCAGAGAAGAAGACCCTATCCTATAATATATATATCCTTTCTTTAAAATATTTCCCAAATATCTATCTAGACTTTAGTTCATAATTACCCAGCCTTGATTGTAGAGCATGTGCCTTACAATTGCCGTCATTAGAGTGTAGAATGTGCCGCAGATGTTGGCCAAAACAATTAAAAGCCCAAAATGCCAGCGACACTGAGCTATGGAATGCTCTCCATTGTATGCAACCAAGAAAATTTTTAAATAAAGTACAAGTATAACCTGAAATCTGAGAAATGGAAATGCAAACATTTTCATGCACGATCTCCAGCGCGTGTGATGAAATATTTTATATTATTTTTGGGGTTGGAGGGGAAATTATTGGTTTGATGGACAGCCGGCAGTTGTGCGGCAACTGAACTCTCACCTCCCAGGCGATATACACTAAACGAAAAATAAATGTATAAAAAATATGGGGATTACCACCTGCCACATGGAGCAGACATAACGAATAGACGGCGACATTGTCATGTGCCAAAGCAAACACAGAACGCACAATTTGCACAATCACAGACCAGAAGAAAAGCCCACAATCCCCACAGTCTGTCTGAAGACTCTTGGATATTGTTCTGATTCCGCGATGGTATGATAGTCTGATGTTTCAAATCCCCCGACCGACTAATTTACGATACAAGTTATTATTAATTTGTCATCGGGTCGGGTATTCAAAGTCAAGCGAGAAAAGAAAATACTTGGGATTCGGAATGAGAAAATGTTTTGGGGGTGGTAGTTCTTAGATACCTCTTAATAGGAGGTTTCTTTTATTATAGTAAGGATTATATTAAATATAGAAGTTGTTTGTAACTAGGAGAAGTTTAGAAGAATTTGTAAGGAAGAGCAAGATTGCAACTCAAAGGTTCTAAAGGGGCTTACTTCATACGATAGACTCACTCGTTACTCGTTACTTTTTACTATTTACTCGTTACTAGTTGATTGGTAAAATTTTATGGAAAAATAATTAAAAAACTACAATAATGATTAATAAAATGACACTTTATCAGCTACAGCTAAACCAGAATTCTTGTCTAGTTGTCTGTATCTCGGATAGATACTGAATAATTATACTACTATAATTATTAGTGTTACTCGTTACTCGTTGATAGTAACTTGCCAAAATTGATCAGTAAAATAATGAATAGTTTATGTTAGAACCGAACTCTCCATAAGATCAATCCCACTTATAAATTAAAAGTAAGCAAGAACTCCTGTCCAGCTGTCTGTCTCTCGGATCGTTACTAGTTACATGATTAAAATTGAACAGTAAAATAAATAATAATCTAGAGCCTATACCAACCAGTATCTATCCCACTTTTTGAGCTACGATTCCGTCTATATATTGATATTATTGACATTTAAATTATAATAATTAATATTACTTCTTACTTTACTAGTTACTCTTTACTAGCTACTTGCTAAAATTTAATAGTAAAATGCTGAATATTCGTTATATTTTTCTTCATAAGGTTTAATAATAGAATAGTTATTAAGCTAAAACCCATACCACCAATGTCAGTTTATCGTATAGGCCCATTGATATTATTTTTAGTATTACTTGTAACTTGTTACTTGTTACTTTTTGGTCGTTACTCGTTACTATTTTTTGCTTAAATTTAATAATAAAATATCTAATAATCTAGAACCCATACCCCCAATATCTATCCCACTTTATGAGGTACAATTAAGCAAGAATTCGTGTCTGGCTGTCTGTCTCTCGGATAGACTCATAGATACTATGATTATTAGTGTTATTGTGGATAGGTAAACCCGGCGACTAATGGCTCATTGGCTCATTGGCTAATTGACATCACTATAGGGAGCTATAGTGAGCTCTCTATATAAGAACCCCCCCAATCCAAATAGCAATGGAATGGAATTAGCAAAAGACAATTATAAAGCTCCGGGGAAGGTCATCCACTAATGCCTTTCAGCGCGCCTGAGAAGATCTCTCTGGCCTGGAACTAGAACTCTTATGGACTTTACTTTTATTTTCTTTATGTGTTCGCTGCGCTGGGGGGGACTAAAAACCAAAACAGCTGGCAAATGTCACTTGTCAGAGTATGTATTCTTTTGGTTTTACGACACTTCCAATGCGACAATCGCCCACACATAGCCACTGGCTCACCTTTGCAGATCCCTCCCTGTCCCCTATTATAGCTACTATACTATACATTTTTTTTTTTATATAGCACTACTATATCATTACTTAATTACTGTGTGTTTTTCTTTTTGCAGGCAATCTTATTTTATACACCAAGATGGCTGTGGAAATCTTGGGAGGGTGGCAAGATTCATGCGCTCATCATGGACTTAGACATAGGCATTTGTTCCGAAGCCGAGAAAAAACAAAAAAAGAAATTACTTTTAGATTATTTGTGGGAAAATTTAAGGTGAGTACTCATCATAACATAGATAGAAGAGAACTAGTAGAAGAACCTACGTTTTAAGTCTGATTATATGGCCCGATGAATAAATAGTCTGGATAAGTCTTAAAAGTCTAAAAGTTTTTCCTATTTTCTAAATATTTGATTTTCCAAAATAATAAAAGATTTAATAAATTTCACACTGATTTTTGAAAATAATTGTTCAATTCTTATTAAGAAAGGGCTTTAAAAATTATTATTAATATTAATATTTATATTTATTAAAAGCCTTTTAAGGCCTTCTATGAGCCTTCTAAATAATACTAACGTAAAAAAAATATTAAAAAGTAAAGCTTGAAAAACATGTTTTAACCTATGTCTAGATAACCTTAGATTTGCAACAATATTCTACTTCTAGAAGCTTTCTAAAGTTTTTAAAAATATTTGAAAATCTCATCACTTCAATTTAACTTTCCAAAGCAAAAAAAAAAGTCAGTTTACTTTATAAATTGCTGAACTAAAAAATATTCCCCAAAAGTAAGATAATCGGAAACCGTATATAAATATTTAATAAAATTATTTCAAGCAATAATTTTCCTGTCACTTTCGAAAAACAAACATTGAAACCAAAACAATAAACAAATTTTAATTAAAAACACTCCATAAATCTGAAATAATTTAAATAAAAAAGAACAATGACCTACTCTGAAATTGTGATTCTCAAAAACGTTCCTTTTTAAGTGAAAATGTTGTAAAATAAATATTTAAAACTTGCCAATTAACTGTTTATATATACCCCGATGTTTCCAAAGAAAGTATGTCATCAGTTTAAAAAATTTCACCAGAAATTCATTGTGATTCACTCCCAAAAAAAATTCAGTTGAGACAAAAGGAAACTTAAACAAACATTTAGGAAATTTATTATATATTTACCGATCGGAAGCGGGTCGGAGATCTCCTGAGTCTGAATCATTGCTAATTACTTCCCTTTTGGGATGCCATTCCATTCCATTTCCAGATATCACAATTGGTGGGCGTACAGATATTACGTGTGTGAGCTGCTCGCCCTTATAAATGTGATAGGTGAGTGGTATTTGTATTCAATTTATTCCTCAATTTTCCATTTTCCAGGTGCCAAATACTAGAAAAACACTGTAAAAAAAAAAATGACTAAAACTAAAAGAGAAAACAAAAAGCAAAGTAAACAATTTGTTGTTCTGGTTTAAAGCATAAATTTGCCGCTTCATTGCTGCATTCTTTAACCTGGATTGTTCCCCTGAATTTCCTTCGATATTCTGCCAACAAAAATCAATGACGAATTTTTATCGACTGACCGATCGCACCGACCGACCCACATCAAAATAAACAAAAAATTAAATGTTTTTTTTTTCTCTCACTGTGTCGGTTGGTTGGTTGGTCGCCCCTCGTGGGGCGCACGCTGAAATCCGAAATCTGACAAAATAATGAACTGTCAGAAAACATGAGAAATAAACAATAATAATGCGAGTAATACACGTTTTTATAAAATGGCTGACATCTCGTCGTGCGAGGGGAGTTTGTTGAGAAACAGAACCTAAATGCATTGTCTAATTGGCTAAATGCCTTTTCTTCCACCCTCCCCAAATTCTAAATGGGTCAATTAGACAGCAGGGGTTGGAGAGTCTTTTCGGGATTTCTTTCTTATGGATATTATACAATTTCAAGGCGCCAGGGAACGTTTTAAGAAATGAAGGCATTTTATAGAACATTTTTTCAGTTGTTACTAGGTATGAGTTTTTTTGTTTATAGTTAGTGGGTACTATTTAATGGTTATTAGTTTTTAATTTAAAAGAATTATATATACTAGTCACTCGTTGTTTATTAAGGGTTACCTTGCCTTATTTTAAAGTCATTAGTTAATATGCACTATTCAGCAACTTTTTTCTAGTTACTGGTTACTCGTTACTAGTTTCTAGTTAATTTTTTCTATTTACATCTTACTGTGCAAAAGTCCCTAGTTTTTAGTAACTGGTTTTATGTTTCTTTTTTAAAACCTATATTTACTAGTTATTAGTTACTAGCTACTATCTACTAATCAGGTTCTGGTTTAAAGTTTCTAGTTAAAAGTTTCTTTTTAGTAGTTACTATTTGCAAATCTTAGTTACTGGTTACTAGTTACACTTCTTATTACTTTCAATTTCTATTTCCCAGTAACTGGTTAATATTTACTAGAAACTTGTTATCCATTTCCAGTTACTTGTTGTTATTTACTAGTTATTAGTATTTACTTACTGTTTTCTAGTTACTAGCTACTAGTTTTCAGATACTAGCTTCTAATTATTAGTTACTAGTTATATCAGTTCTATTATCCTGGAAAATGTTGTATTATTTTATTTTAAGAAAAGTTAAATATACTGTGCCCTTTATCATTTAAATTATTTATTAAGTACCAAAATTATAGATTTTTAAACATCTTTTACTTCGTTAAAAACCTCTTTAAAAATCCACTAAAACAGAATAGATTTTAAAAGCTTCTTTTGAACAGAATATTATTTTCCTTCCAATTACCCAATAGCTTATTAATTAGCTTGGCCCAATATTTTGTAGAGTTCTCTTTCTAAATATTTATATATAATGAATTTAATTAGCAAAAAGTTCTCTGGCAAATTAAAAACTTGTATTTACCTTAAAAATATATACCCCTGATGCCTCTCAGCAATCCAGTTTGTTTGTTCATTGACCTCCATTTTCAACGGCCAATTAGCCGCAATTAGCCCAAACAATTGATGGATCACACCAAAGTGAATTCGGTCGGTTTATCTGCCATAATTAATTGGCCGCAAGGTGAATGAATTCTGAATCAGTATCCGAATCGAAATCATTGCCGCCTCATTTACAAACGATCAATCAAGTGTATCGACTTGGAAAAAGTCAGAAGTCCGAAGCTATTTTACACAAAAATTTACAGAGAAACTCTCAAGTTTGAAAAAAGTATCTCGATCTTTTTTTTTTTTGAAATGAGAAGAGAAGAAAATGCGGGAAAAGGAAAGCCATTAATTAAGTGATCGTGTGTGTAAACAATGGAATGGATTTGTGAATACTATATCTTACGATTTAATCGTTGACTTGCTAATTGGTGTGTTTTTTGTTTTTTTCACCTTTGCAGGTCAAATGTTTCTTATGAATCGATTTTTCGATGGCGAATTTATGACATTTGGCCTGGATGTGATAGATTATATGGAGACCGATCAGGAAGATCGCATGGATCCGATGATTTACATATTTCCCAGAATGACCAAATGTACATTTTTTAAATATGGTTCAAGTGGGGAGGTGAGTTTTTCATACATTTTTAAAAAATATATATTTTAATACTGAAATTTTTTAGGTGGAAAAACACGACGCCATTTGCATTTTACCATTAAACGTTGTTAATGAGAAAATTTACATTTTCCTTTGGTTTTGGTTCATCTTATTAACGTTTCTCACATTATTAACGCTAATATACAGGGTGGTTATTATATTCTCACCTCGAATGAGGGTCTACTTATTTCGTATGCGATTTAGGTAAGTTGTCAAAAATACCTACCATATCTAGTATTTTTTTTATTAATATATATTTTAATTTTTAAATTACAGGTTAGTGCGTCGTGACGCTATTGAAATAATCGTTCGTCGTTCAAAGATGGGCGATTGGTTTTTGTTGTATTTATTAGGTGAAAACATAGATACGGTTATATTTCGTGATGTTGTACAGGACTTAGCGAATCGTTTAGGACATAACCAACACCACAGGGTGCCTGGCTTAAAAGGTGAAATACAGGATGCATGATATTGGGAGTATTAGAAACAATACAAAATGCAATTTGTCGTCTCCATTTGAAAACCATCTCAAAAAGCAATTAAAACTCAACTAAAGCAAGAATAACTAAACAAAGACTTGATACCATATGAGAAGAGAATATCGTTAGAGAATATCTTAGAGAATCGTCACAGCACACAGCAGCAGCCGCTTCATGAACTTCACAGAAACAAAAAAAAAAAGATAATGAAAAAATCTCAAAGACACACCATTAACTAAAATCACCATTCAACAATCGCAACAACAAAAAAAATGTCAAAAATATTTAAAAAAACGTATCTTAAAAATACAACCAAAAAAACTATCGTCAGCGCGCAGTCATTTTTGAAATCAAACATAAAAATCCGGCATGGTCGTGAAGTCACTAGCACCATGGTCGATAGCAGGCGTCTATCGATAGTCGATAACCAACCAACAAACCAACACACACACACACAGGGCAGAACTGGAAACTAATCGGAAGCGGATGAAAAATTAAATAAATTTATAAAAAAAAAAAATCAAATGAGAATGTAAAACAGGAATAACAACAGGAAATGCATTGGAATAGTAGAATAGTCCTTTCGAAGGACAAGAACAACTGCTATCCAGCAGACAGGACACGGCGACCGGAGGCAAGTGGCGCCTGCCGCCGGTCAATGGTCACAAGGATACAAGGTCACGAGTCAAAGGATCTTAGCTAAGAAAGAAAGCTAAGCGATCTGCGATCCATAGAAAAGTTGCCCCTAAGGACAAGAACAAAGTGTGAGCAGGACAAACGGAAACGGAGACGGAAACGGATACACATATAGCTTATAGCTACATCAATCATACGCCCCGTAGGACATACACACACATGTACACACAAAGACACACATACAAAGAAACACAGACTCATCGCACTTTGCTTGTCATGCAGCGTTAACTAAAACCAAACATCAACAAAGTCGAGACGACGCCCGCGGAAAATTGCATTTCTGTATTAACCCCAAAAAAAAAAATTAACATCACTAGCATCATGTTATCACCTAGAGGAAGGAGCAGAGTAGATCAGGACACCATAAACGATGCAACAACAACAACAACACGAAGGTGAGAGGTCAAGTATCCTCGCCGGTCGCCTCAAAACAAAAAAAGGAGGACACCAAACAAGCGAACAACGAGAGAGCGCAAAAAAGAAAAAGTCACGAAGGAGCAGAGAAGCAGAGGAGGAGGATAAACCAGCAGCAAAGAGAAAACGAAGTAAAAGAAATAAAAGAAAGTAAATGTAACAGTTTAATTAAATTAAATTCAATTCAATTAAATTACTTATTACAATGATATCTTGAAGTGTTCATGTATTCGAATGTAGGTTAACTAAGTCAAGCATACAAAATAATTCTACATTACATATATACATATATGATTATATATATATACATATATATATATATATGAAAGGAGAATCTATATGTATATATACATATTTATATATATATAGTATATAGTATATAAATGAAGAAAAGGAAAAAAACAAAAAACAACTTTTTTTTTGTCTAACTCTAAGCGTTTGTATTACCCGCTAAAACAAAAAAAAAAAATACCAAATGATGAAGAAAAGATGGAAAAAAGCAACAAGAAAATACCAAAAAAATGCAAAAACACAATTTTTTTTTTATATATACAGAAAAGGATTCAAAAAATGCCGAGGCGAAACGAAACGAACAAAAAATATCAGTAAATATCAGAAAATACCATACCGAATACCGAAACCGAAAAACCAAAAAAACTAAAAAAAAAAATACTAAATAGTTTAAAATTGGAAATAGAAACTATAGCGCGCATCATTATATAACCAAAAAGTAAAAAAAAAAAATACAAAACAAAGACAGACAGTGAGACGGAAATGTTTTAAAACTCATACACATACAGACACACACACACACATGGACACACCTACATTATAGTATATAAAGCATATACATATATTATTATCGATCAGCATACATTCGCAGCATAAATCAATTAACTCAACTAATAATAGAGCATACTCAACTCTCTCCCTTAAAGATAATACGCCTAATAGCCACCCCCACGAAAAAAAAGCGGAAAATTACCAAAAAAAAAAAACAAAATACTAAAAAATCATACCAAATGAAAATGCTTTGCCTCACACACACACACACACACGAACCGAACACACATACATACATACAAACATCGATCAAGTGTAATAATATCGATAACAATACGATAATGTCCTATGCAACGAGGGTTCAGTTTGGATTTCGGCGACAATTCCCAAGATCACAAAAAGGCATTGCAGTTGCTTGACCTCTGACCTCCCAGCCCATCACCATCCCCCCCTTAGACCCATTTAGGTAGTTAGCTAAGCCGATCAGCCAAGAAAAAGAACCATAGAAAATCATCGAATCGAAGATAAACCAAATGAAAGGTTCAATATGTGCTACAAATTGTAATATCCGTCCAGAAAACTTTTTGAAGCGCACCTTCCTGCTCCATTGACAAGCTTATCGATATCTATCGATAGTATCGATTTCAATGCGCGATTATTTGTGCTTTCCCTAGCAGGCTGCTTTTCCACTACACAAAAAAAAAAATACTAACATACAAAAGAAACCCAAAATGGACCAAAAATACCAAGTCACAGATGCCTCAAAAGTTTTCCTTTGATTAAAGCGATCTCTCTCCATTTCTCCCTTTTGTCCTTTAACCCTTTCCTGTCTCTTTCTCTTTCATCTATATCACTATCTCACTCTCTGAAGAAAAAAAGGACGACCAATGACGAAAAACACAGCCAGAAAGCAAAAGCCAGAGATGCAAATCTAACAACAAAATATCACTGCCAACCAATTAAAAAACAAAAAACAAACAAATTTAAATAGTTAAAGAAATAAAAAAAACATAAATAATAGATGAGTATGGGGCGGAGGGAGGAGGTTTTCGAGGGGGATCCGGGGAAGGACAACTGCAATGCCAAGCAAAAAGGAATTAGTTTCCAAATTTAAGAAAAAAAAGATTAAAAGGTTCCTTGTCTGAGAATCAGGAATTGCCGAAACGTTCGCCAGGAATTTAAAGCCTCACCTCACGGTATTCATTTTTTTTTTCGGTTTCAAAATTAGTTTAAATGCTTTATTGATTTGTTCGTCTTTTCTCACAACTATCCAGCATATTTAAAGACGCATTAAAATTAGCAAAAAAAAAAAACCAAAAACAAATTCTAGGAGGAGCCGAACCGGTGGGGGAAGAGTAAGATGTTGAAGCAAAAAAACAATAATTATAACAATAAAATGTTAATAAGTAATTTTAGCGTATTTTTTTTTAACAGCTTATAGCCAACTAAGTAAAGTAAATGTAATTCTAGTTCAAACTGAACCATTTTTTGTCTGCGTTTTTTTTTTTTGCGTGTATCAGTAGGGTAAGACATACAGAAACACACAACAAACATACAACACAACAAAACAACACACACAGACACGCAATGAAATCGAAATGGTAAACGAAAAGCAAATGTAACATATAATTAAAGGATATCCGAGGATAAATTAAACTGTAATTATAGAGAGAAGGTGAAGGAGAGCGAACCGAGCGAAGGAATACCATACCAAAACGTAAGCATATTACAAGGAAATTGCCATTAGTCGATAGTTTTAAAGCGATACGTATATGATCTGCAATGCTAGGTTAAAAAAAAAAACAAAAACACACTCACACACAACCAAAAAACAAGAATATATAGTGTAGCTCAATCCAAGTCGTATCTCGTAACTCGTAACTCCAAACAAATAAAATTAAAAAAAGAAAACCACACACAAACTAAAAGCAATTGTAAAATATCGTAACAAGTCTTAAGGCGATTCGGAATCGAATCGAAAACAAACAAACAAACAAGCAAAACTTTATTTTTCAAAGTTTTTGCCGCAATATTTACTCTACCTTAACAAATAAATAAGAACAAAAATTATACTAGCTGAATAAATAGAAATTAAGAAGGACATTTCATAGACACACACACACACACACAAACAAAAACAAACACATGGAAACAATAGATTCCCTAGAAGCAATAGGCACTGGCGAAAACGGAAACGGAAACTGAAACAGAAACAGAAACGAAAGCAGGCAGAGCTAACGGTAACATCGATGATTTTACACCAAGTTCCACCACTACTTCCGGTACAGTTGTGTCCAATTTTTCAAAACACACCAGCACAGCACTTTTCTCTCCTCTACCTCTCTTTCTTACTCTCTTGAGCTTTCTTTTCCCCAAATTTCAAGTATTTATTTGGTATTTATTTGTTTTTATCGATTAATCGATATATATCGGCTATTGAGTCATAGTTTTGTTTGCTTGTTTGTTTGTTTCCGAATACTGATTTTTATGATTTTATTTATTTATTTTTTTTGTATAATTATTATGTATTTAGGTTTTAGTTTTAAAACATTTAACGTACTTGCTCATTTGTTCTTTCGTGCAATAAAAAAAAACGAGACTTGTATACATATCATTGTTTATTGGGTATTATTATTGTTCCTTGGGGATCCCTTTTTACTTTCTTCCCCATCTCTATCTCTTTCTTCTTAACTCTGTCCATCCTCTTCTCTTGTAGCACTTCCCGCCCTAGCACCAAGAAATCGCGAAAAGAAAGTCAATTTCTCACAGCTCAAAAAAAAAACCAAAAGCAACAAAAACACGCAATGAAACGAACTAAAAGCAACAATTAGTGAAGCATATTGGTGAAATAATCGTAACTTATATTTTAAACAAAAAATCAAATTAGTGAGTGATTAGCGCAATGGTAACGATATAATGATAAAAACCATTTAGTTGAAAGACCCCCTAGCAGAATCGAATCGAATCGAATAGTGAGAACTTTTTATTAGACAAAATATGAAAGTGAACATTTTTTAATTGTATACTAATCGAATCAAAATTGTAAAAACCAAAAAGAAATCTTATAAAATTTATTAACAAAAAAAAAAAAATGAAAAAGGCAACCATAGATATTGCATACAAATTGAAACTGCCAATTCACATTCTCAGACAAATTTTTACGAAGCTAAACCAAAATCGAGCATTACCCAATTAATAGCACTAAGCAAACCCAAAAAAAAACATATATATATATATATATATTATATATACAAAATTGCTGAATATTTCCGAAACAAAACAAAAAAATATTGAGAATCAATTCAAACTCGTATCTAGAAAACGTATCTAAAATAAAACAAAATTTAATAATAATAATTGACAAGGCCTTCGAATTTGATCCTCACCTTCGTTTCGTTTCCCCCGATTTCCGATTAAACCGATAACCCATGACCGATATTCGATATCCGTTTTCCGATAATGGATTGCGGATTTCGGATTCTGAGGTACAGGCTTACTTTAGGCACCTAGCGTATATCAATTTGTGTGTGTGTGAACAAATAGCAGACAATAATTAGTGAAAGGCGCGAGTAGGCTATTTTGTAATCGAAATCGAGAGTCCAGAAATATTCTTCAGTTATTTGAAATTTGTTGATTTTAATAACTAATAATTTACTGTCTTCCAGCCTAGCGTACATTATTAAATTGATAATTTTTGAATTAAAAGCAGGTTCCTAAACAGTCCAAGAATTAAAATAATATTTCGCCTTTTTATCATCTTATTTTGTGATTATCGATAACACAATTCCGTACGATTTCGATAGCTTAATGCCAAAAAAAAGAAAAGGAAAATGAGATTTATTTCGTTGATGGCCAGAATTCAGCAGCATTTGATGGATGGTGTATAGGAAAACTGCCTTAAAGTGATTTCAAAGTGAGACCGAACGATCGATAAACCAGCAAACCGTGTATATAGGAGATGAACGTCAAGGAATGTCAAAGAAAGTCGATAATAGTCGATAGTAGTCGCGGAGAGCCGTTGGACAGAGATCGGTGTAAGATCCGGGAGGTGACAATTTTTTTTACTAAACAAACCAATTTAGCCACGTATCTATGAGTAAGCCTAACTTTTAACACAGCCATGCATACTGACTTGTACATAGAACACACACCCTCATCTAAATATATATGTGTATATCGATATATATCGATATATATGTGTAGAGATATATGGGCAGCATATATACATGCAAATATACATATATACTCTATAGATACATATACAAGCATATACACACACCAGTATATATACATAAAGCGAATGTTTTATAACGTGGTGGAAAATGATGATTAGTTGGTAAACGTAGAGCGAGACATCTTTAGCAAAATTACACCTAAGTTTTCCAGATTCAGATGACTTTTTAACCAAAAAAAAAAAAACAAAAGAAACTAAAAAACGAATCATTCGAAAGCAGGCTGGCAAGCTGAATAGATAATGAGAAATATGAAAGAGAAAAATTATGTAGAAAAGCCGACAGAGTAAGAAACTATTTGTATTTCAACTTGTTTTCCAGGAGATCCTAAGTTTAG